GTTTTTTTTTTTTTTTTTTTTTGATAAGGCAACTTGTTACTTTAATAGTTTTTGGTATAACAGTTAATAATATTTCTTATTAGGTATAAATCTATTGTCTTACACTTTGATTAACATTTCATCACATACACGCTTCTATGCAGGAATTACAACTCTTCAAGTTTGCATGAAACTTTTCTGTGCTGTTAGCCTATTCTTTGTTCAAGTTTTTCACGTATTTAATTTTTCGATGGACAAAAATAATAATTTTTTTTTATCTTTGTACTGGGATGTACAAATTTCCATTGATTCCCAATATTTTAAAGAACACACTACGAACTTAAATTATCATCCAGATTATAAGTGAGAGTAACTTTATTCTTTTACCAGTCATGATTAGTACTCTTTTTGCAAGTCTTCCCAATATAGTAATAAGAATAATGTGGAAATAAATGAATTTGAAAGTAGTTTACAAACTATGCGCAGGGCAATTTTTTCCATCACCTTTTAGAAGTCTTAATCTTCGCTATGTGAATCTGAATGTAGTCTACACATACTATCTTATACTTTACAACATAGCTACTTATCATATGATCCTCCAGCGGATGGCAAGTATGTGCAGATTCACATTTATTTTCTGGTCATTGATCTACAGATACTGCTACAGAATTCCTGAGAATTATCCTTTAGCTTCAGCTGCTCCTTTGCTTTGTGCTGGAATTACAGTTTATTCTCCAATGATTCGTCATAAGATGAATCAACCTGGTAAATCTCTAGGAGTGATTGGTCTTGGTGGTCTCGGCCACTTGGCAGTGAAGTTCGGGAAGGCTTTTGGACTAAATGTGACAGTTTTTAGCACTAGCATATCCAAGAAAGAAGAAGCCCTGAGCGTTCTTGGAGCAGACAAATTTGTTCTCTCATCTGATACCGAGCAAATGGAGGTTTTATAGAACTAGTTTTCTCTTATGCATCTCATTTTCTTACGAATCAGAATCATCCTCTTATCTGCCCCTTTAATTCCAACCATATTACTCTCAACAGGCCTTGTCTAAGTCCCTTGACTTCATTATCGATGCTGCATCTGGTGATCATCCATTTGATCCATACATGTCTACATTGAAGGTTGGTGGCACTATGGTTCTGGTTGGGTTTCCTTCTCAAGTCAAATTCAGTCCTGCAAGCCTAAATTTGGGTATGTTTGAGGCAACTGGTTTTAATTTAATATAATGTGTTCATATTCTTCCTCATTTCGAAGAATCTGAAATTGGGGACCTGCGGAATTGTATGAATCGACTATTTCTGGCAGGTATGAGAACTATTTCTGGGAGCGTAACTGGAGGCACTCGAGTGACCCAAGAAATGATCAACTTCTGTGCTGCTCATGGAATCTATCCAAACATTGACGTGATTCCAATTCAATACTCTAATGAAGCCATTGAAAGGGTAATAAAAAACGATGTCAAGTACCGATTTGTAATTGATATTCAAGGCTCCCTAAAATGATGTTGAGAGGCAGAGAAAAGGCGATAAAGACTGACTTGTCATAGAACATCAGCATGTTATTTCTTCTACGTTTTTGCATTTGTATGTGTTAAGAATGATATCTCAACAGTATGTCAAATAAAGATTCGCGTTAACTCGTTTCTGTGAAGAAATCTTTGAGATGGGAAAATTTTCGTTTTCATTATGAATTTTGTAATTCTGTGGAAAAAATCGTTACTTTCTGTTGCAGCTCCTCACGCTGTCGATCCTGTGCATCCACGGCCGATTTCACATACGCACCAACCGAGGAAACCACACCACACGCGCCACCGATCTGGTCCCATCTGTCTCGGCTCGCTCCAGTTGGGTTCAATCGGTCTGGTTTAGTTCAGTTGTCTTCGATTTCGAACTTTATTTTGATTGGAGCTGATATTAAATAGGGTTTTAATAGAGTTTTCGTGAACCATAAACGAAAAAACCTCCTTATTCTTACTTAATCTCATGTTTTGGTGAGATAAGTAGTTTATTGGAGAAATTTCGTTCACAGGTGATGATTATGGCTGAGATGTTATAGCATAACACATCAATTTTTTTTTTTTTTAATGTACGATTGACGTATGAAAGTGCTTATTGTCTATGATACCCATTGATGTTAATATTCTACTTATGTAATAGATAATTTACTATGATAAGGTTACTAGAGAGTTGCCAACTAATTGTGAAAAATCTATTATGACTAGCCTAGTGTATATCTTAGTTGGTTCAGACACAGACACAGGGTCACTCCCACATGTTTATGATTATTTATGTCTCTTCATATTATCGGGATACCATGATGGGGCTACTAGAGAGTCACAAACTATTTGTTAGTAGTGAGAAGTTTATTACGATTGATTCACATATGTATCTTAGTTAGTTTCAATATTGCATGGAGTTACTTTCTTATGTCTATGAATATGTATTTCATGTTATTGGATTATTATGATAGTGCTACTAGTTGGTTGCCAAGTAACCTCTAATAGTGTAAAGTCTATTATGATCGACTCACATATATTTTAGATAGTTCAAGTACGAGGTCACTCCCTTCATACTTATGATGTCATCAAAATACTATGATAGGGTTGAGAGTTACCAATTAACCTCAAATAGTGAGGAGTTATCCTGATCAAAGTATTGTAGTTGGCTAGACAAGGAATTAGTTAATTGCATTACACATCTAAACAATTTAAGCTTAGAATTATGATTTTTATGTTTGAAGATAAGTGTGAATGGACATCCAAAACCTAGTGATGACAAAGTAGCGAGAGCCCATAACAATTTTAAGTAGCTGTGGCTTTCCAAGTGAGACTCCTTACTAATTATTTTTATACTCAACTATGCTAATATTTTTTTTAGATGGTATTTTGATTTGTGACGAGGGTGTTTCAAAACAATGAATTTACGAGGGCAAAGATATATTAGAGTTTTAGCTCAATCAAAGATATATTAGAGTTTTAGCTCAATCAAATTTCTCAACTCAATAAGTAATCAATCTATACATAATATTTAATAGGTTATCGTTCTATGAAGGTTTCTTTTAGAATTGATCTTGAACAAAAGCAAATAGTTAAATATTGACTTTTTTTAACTCATATTTTATCCTTCCATATCTAAATAAAAAATTTGCTCTTGAAGTATAGAAACACATAATTTATTCGTCATAGTATGATTTGTCTTAACTACTAATGTATCCCTTAACTTTATACAACTTTAAAAAATAAAAAGTTTTATACATCTTCAAAAAATAAGATTTAAACTTCGAACCTTTGTCAAAAATATAATATCTAAACTAACATAAATTTCTTCCGTCACTTGGAACTTTTACTCTCTATTTTAGAAGGTAAGGTTAGCTCGATACTTTAACTTGTGTCATTGTCCCATAGAAACAAAAACAAAAATATCTTTCAACCAAGCCAGCACTAACCAAATAACCAACCGTCTAAAAAGTACAGACATTTTAGCATCGAAGTATTTAACTGAAATTTGAAGAAAAGAACATCTGTAGGCTTACATCATTATCAGTAACACAAATCAATTTAAACAATTCCTTTGAATTAGAAACCAAATTTGAACGCCAATACAGACTCCTAACTGTTATAATAACTAAAAAAAAATGAAAAGAACTTAGTACTCCATTACTTGAACATATTTTTCTTTACAGCGCCATTTCAAAGCACATTCAACACAAAATCCCTAAAGTACAAAGCAGGAAACAGCAGCCAACTTACATTGCATAAGCTCCCTCCTTCTGAACAACTGAGTAACCTGAGAATGAACTCATTCCCAATCTTCAACTTCTTCATTGTCTTCCATGTTGTACCGGCTGAAGTGTTCAACCCTGAACTTCCATTCCCCTTTCACTGGGTCGTGGGATACAAACTCAGCGCCTTGAGCCTCCGTCTTCTTCCTTAGCAACTCCTTGTACTTTTCAACTTTAGGCCCTTCAGTATATTGATGCCCGGTTTTCTTGTCGAAGCATTTGATGTTGAGTATTGTTACTTCAGCAGGTTTATTCAGACCTTGCCCACGAGGGGGCTTTTTACTCTCGTCCAGGTAGACGATCACCTCACGGTTGTTAAACTGGACAATGGACTCCAAATCAAGCCTTCGCACGTCGGTTTCACCAAAGAATTTGATGCTTCCAAAACCATGGCGACCCACCACAAAATCTTTAACATGACGGCAAAACCCAGGTTCGGCCCTTTCTTTGGCAGCTAATTCTTGCATCTTTGGCTCTGTATAATAGTCTGAATGCCGAAGCTTAGGCATTAATGCTTCAATATCTGCCCCATGTTCATAAACAATGGCGGCCTCACCAGCTCTATGCCCTCCAAAAGTCCTGTACAAATCCTCCTTTGGGGCAGAGTGATCCTCATGAACCCCATTGGGTTTTTGATTTACTTTGTTAGGATGGATGTTGTCTTTGCTAGTACCATTCTCAACAACATTTCCTGCAAAAAAGAAATCGATAAAATTCATTTAACATGAAAAAGTGAAGCTCCTACTGCTATGATGCACACTATCATTTCCACAAACAAAGCATGATGATCTTAAAACCAAATTGTTCACAAAGCTATGTGCATAGCGGAACCTTTTTCTTTATGTAGAAACTCCAACAAAGACGTTAGAGACTCCAATTTTATAAATAGATTCCACCACAAAATAATTCATAAGAACAATAAGCTAGAGAAATTGAAATCAGACGTTAAAAGAAGAAATAAGAACTTGTTCGTTGAGGCGTGTGGAAAGGAAAAATGGAACAGAGAAACTGAAAATATACAAAATTTCAAAAGGGCAAAACTAACCATTGGTATCCTTCAAATTGTTGACAGCCATGGAGGAAGTGCCTTCAGCAATCTTACCTGGAAAAAATTAAGATTTGCTAGTCAACAACATATTAAACTTAAAATTTCATTACACCTCACAGGAACACAGGCCATTACATCTTAGCAAAAAAATAAAAAAAGAAAAAAAGAAAAAAGAAAAAGAAACTATACTATCATGCTTGGTAACAGTTAACATTACATTGTCATAAAAGTAAAAAACGTTTAAGAGTACAAAAACTCCAGAGGCAGAAATTATAGGGGCGCTTTTGGACATTTTGTATGCAAATAATGTAGAGAGGAAAACTGCCAAATGCCATATAAAAATTACGTGTATACTTAATTTCCGTAAATTAAATGTTCAATTTTTTTACTTGGAATTTAATTAACTTACAGAAAAAAGATCGATTTTATAACTAAATAATAATCTGAATCACATTTTACAGATATCCTAGCCAAATACCACCTAGCTATCGACAAATCAACACTATGAAAAAACACTATTTTACAATGCAGTTTATAAAATAGTCCACAAGAAGAAAATCATAATTCACCGAATAAAGTAAAAGCAAAAAGTTCTAAGACTATCTTAATTAATCTTCCAATAGATAGACTTGTTAGGTACGTATCTGACTTCTAATTTGTTGTTTCATATTTTATTGAATCAAATAAATTTAGTGAATTTAAGTTTAATTTAGTGAGTTTATTTCTAAAAACAGTATTTGGATTTGGATTTTTAGGACTAAAACAGTAGAAACTTTAAAAACAACATTTACATGGGTTTTAATATTTTAAAATTCTAAACATATTACTAACAATATTAAAAATAACGAAAACATAACTCTGTTTCTATTAAATCTATTGTTTTAAATTCATGGATCATGATCACCAACCAAACAAACCTTTTAAGTGTTCTCAACTATGAAACCTGAACAGTGGAAGGCACTAAACAAAAAAGTCATACCATTTTCACGCACTGAGGTATCCTTCGATGGCAATACTCTCTCTGAACTGGCCCTTGAAGGCCACTGATCTGTGGGACGAATAACCAATGCTCTAGGGTTCTCTCTCGGAATAAAAAGAGCATCCGCCTTTGGAGTGCTTGGTGTCTCTTCATCTTCACTGAAGAATGGAACCTATAAAGGACAGAGCTATAAGTAGTCTATAGAGACGAACATTCAAGTGAGGCACCATTTCAGTAACCACCAGCCCTGGTAGATGTGGGGAAGGGAAAAGGAAAATGATTAACTATAGTAGAAGAAACTCATACCCTTGGGCGGCCATCATTCTTAGGATTATATTTTCTTGCAGGCAATCTCATTCGTCGGTGAGACAGGTGGCGGGGTGTCAAGAAGGATGATATTCTCACAGGAGCCGCTTTATCAACAACCTGCATGAGCAAAATCAATTAATAGAGAGTATAAAAAAACAGCACCAAACAACATTCTTCATGCAGATTTTAGTGATATAGGCAACAAAATTAAACACCATTGATCTAAATCCACTCAAACTTCAGTAAATAAAAACAAGTCCAATTTACCGGCATGCTGGAAATTCCATATTGAATAGAAGGTGCTGCCCCTGGTCTACTAATTGACATCTGTGGCATTGCAGGGAGTGTCCCAAATGGATTTGTGGCCGGTGCTGGTTGTACGATGGGGTTTTGAGTGATAGGCCTACGAAGTACATGCATGCAAATTACCGATACATGGCAATGAATATGTAGACAATAAAGACTGAATGTTTTATGCATACATGAAAAAGAAAATGGTGGGAAAAAAAAGCGAAAATCCATCCAACAAAAATAGAAA